ATATGAAAAGTGTCTTATCGTTTCATCACAAATAGGGAACCAACCCGATATAAACTTTTCGCTGATGAGTCTTGTGACTAATGCTAAATCGACTAGTCTCGTCTTTATTTTAGATAATTACTTTTAGTCCTTCTGTAATCTATCTCTTTCCATGCTAATCAATTATTCAGGAATAGAGAATCAATTTTAAACAATGTCAGAAGCAGAGATAGACGTAATATCGATCGTATAGATTCAACATATACTACAGTAGTTTGCTGTATTATTAATGGTCAAAGATTGTGTGTCATGATATATCTAGTTCATATGAATATTTGAAGATACTGCTCATGCATCTGCTTAAATACTTACAAGTCTATCGACTTATCAATATGAAATCCTATCGGTTCTCAAGGGAAGTTTTATTGTTGATAGATTTAGGTACTATATAAAATGTATTCAAATTGAATCGGTTAACTCGGAGCTTTAATGAAATTTGACAAAATAATTATTTCATCAAGAGTATACTTGGAAAATTATCAAGAGGTACTATTCAATGTGTCTGATTGTTATGAATAAGTAGTAAGATGCCAACGATGCTGAATTCGAATGTACATGATTCTAGTTTTATTTATACATGATTAGATAGAGTCGAATATGATGATCACGAATTCAAAAGTACTCGAGGAATATAAAAAAACAGACAAAAAATCGTTTATTTAGGAAAAATTCGAATTTTTAAACTTTTTTATCGCCTAATCATTTCTAACTTTATTACTTTCTTCTTCAGCATCTAAAATTGAGTATAACAGTCGTATTGTATGGACTGTAAAGTAAATATCTTTCTAATATAGGTGTGTCCAACATTCGAAGAGAAAAAGCGAGACTTCAGTGCTTCGAATTACAAGTAATGTACGACTGAAATACGAGTGAAGTCTCGTTTTTTTCTCATTCGGATGTTGGACACACCTATATCGGACAGATATTAACTCTACGATCGACAAATTATAACTGTTATACTCGGTTTCAGATGATGAAGACGAAAGCAATTAAGTTTAAAATTTTTTGGCAATAAATGTGTTCAAAAAATCGAATTTTTCTTAAATAAATGACGTTGGTCCGTTTCTTATGTTCTTCGAGCATTTTTGAATTCGTAATCACCATATTCGAACTTAGCATTGTTGGCACCTTACTTCAATATCGAAAATTACCCATATAATATAGTTAGAGAAGCATTTAAGCAGATATGTCCTAAAATGAATTTAGCAAAATAAACACAAAAAAACAAACCATTGTAAAGTATTGTATGCACAATATATGCTGAAAAGGCAGCAAAGATAAATCCATGTCTAACAATTTGAGCTGCAGTCATTCGTACTCCTCCTTCAAATATTTAATTTATTCTTGATATAAAAATAATAATAAATATTACCATAAATTTGATAGGCTGTTTCATTTAAAAGTAAATTTTTATTTAAAACTTTCATCGAATCATAAAAATCACCATTGATATCAAAAGCTCTATTTGAAATAATTGGCATTTTTTTTGAATCCCATGTATTTGAATAATAAATAATTGGTGTTACAATCCAAATAACAACTATAAATCCAACCAATAGATTTACATGAGTCCTTAAAGAAAAACATGTCAAATAATTTTTAAATCAAAAGATTTTTTACCAGAATGGAACAAGAATAGGTGAACCAAAAAAGGCAATACAAGCATTCCAATCAAATCCTATTGCACCTAAACCAAGTCCATTTCCACC